GGTTAAAACAAATATTATCAAAGGATTTTATAGTATCCACAGATTAAGGTACAGAATTACGTGTGCGTCCACCTTATTATAAAAATGCATATAGTCTGTATCTATTTCTACTGAGCGGTTACGAGGTTTGAAAGATGGTATTGTTTTTAAGAAAATTTAAATACTCACTTACTTAGGTTGAAATAATTATTCAAACTGTGTTCTAAAAATGATTTTAAATTAAATAGGTACATCTGACAACATTTTGAAGAAGATATTTTATCTATAGGAATTTAAATTGATGCTAAAGGTTGGAACTAACTAAAGGAAAAAAATGCAATTACTGACACTAAACAGCCCTCTAATATCTATAAATTAAAACCTTTTTTTCCTTGTAAGATGGATAGCAGATTTATCTGAAATTTGTCTGAAATAGTAAAATCTTTAAGCCACCCTTTATTGGAAAAATCTGGTTTTTCTTATGAAACAAACATTATGATATTGCAATACTTCGCAAACTTTCACTACTGGCGACCCAATTTTCAATCATAATTTTTATCGCACCCCCTCCCCTAAAAATAATAATGTATTGAATGCAATAATAATGCACTTTTTTGGGGGGGTACCAAATCTACAATACCATAATAATTATAAACCTTACAAATTAACAAGATAAGTATTAAATTTTCTATATGTTACTTTTAAGTAATATATATACTTATTTTTTTAATTTTTATTTCGATTCACTATAAAAGCGTGTTTTTTTAGTTAGTTTTAAAACTATAATTTATTTTATAATTCTTTTTATTATACATGATAAAAATCACAATTCCAGTGAATAATTTAATTAAGAGAAAATATACTTACCTACTTTCAAGGACTTTTCAATTTTTCTTTGATCATTTGCGAAAAAATCCAAAAAACTAAAGAAAATGTTCCAAATGTGCGTGTCCTTAATAAAGGACATAAATCACACACAGACTCTCTTCGCTAACGATACAGGAACGTTATTTTACAGCAAAACTGTCATATTTTGCTCACGTTTTTGTAGTTTTGCTGTCGTTTGATGATCTACAAATAACATTTTGAACTTTTTCTTCCTTGTGTCTTTTTGACAAGGCGAAGTGCTACATTATGGCTTAAAAGTTCTCTTCGTAGAGATCTTTAGACAGCATTTGAAAATTTCAAATCAACTCATTAATTTCATGTCTAATGCTTTTCTCATATTTACTTTTGCTATTTTGATTAATTATTTTAGCAGGTTCTTCAATTGCTTGATCAGTTACAACGTCCTTCAATAGGGACACAGATGCCCATTTTTTAAAAAATATTCTTTACATTTACATTTATAAACCATAATAAGTCGTACAACACAGCAATCAAAACCACAAAATTGCTCATGGGGACAATGTAGCATGTTCTAAAAAAATAATTGTGTAAGTATGCATTATATGTTTCAAAATACTCATAAAAATATATCTTGGCCAAAAAATCCTTCAAAATGCTCAATATGCTTATCCATATATCATAAAACTCATTCACATGGAAAATAAAAGCAACAGAAAAATATTATTTACAACTTTCCTAAAAGAATAAGAGACGGAGTGAAACATACCAGTAAGTTAAAAGGTCAAATATATGAAAATCAAAAGTAGTATTTTAGGGGTTAAAATAAACATAATAAAAAAATCTCTCATCGTGGGAGAACAGTAAAGCAAGCAAAATGTCTTTTTCTACTTGGTTATAGGATCAAAGATGACTAATGAACGTTCGAAGTAGAATCTTTTATTTTTGATGATCACCAGATGATAAAAGTAAATTATATCAGTGTAAATGTGTATTTTTTATTATGTCAGAAAGCATTTTGTTTTACTTCATTCCAAAAAATTATTTTTTTAAACCTTTTATTTTCAATATGCTCGAGCCCCCCTCGCAGGGTTACGCACCTCCCAGGGGATGCGCTCCACAGTTTGAGAAACACTGTGATATTGTATTTCCCACAGTTATAAGCAAGTAATTGCTTATAATTATGTTTTTACCCATTATGATCCTAGTACATCAATAATATTGGAATTTACACTTAACCTTATAGAATAGTATAAAAAGAGGATTTACATTTGTCTCCGGTATGCTTTCTGATAGTGAGTGGAACTATGCTGAATAGATTGTGAAGGTTTCTTGATTTTTGAGACTGAAGGAATCTTTCAGGTATTGGAATCTACATCATTTTTGCATTACTTACTATTGATAAAACTTTGGAATTATTGAGAAAAATTGACATAGTTTTTTTTATGCATTTGCTGAAAATTAACGTTTTTTTTCTTAACCTTTTCTAAAGAGGAAGAATTTTATATATTTCAAGTTCTAATTCAAGCTAAATGAAGGTTACCAGCCCAGTATTTTATATTTATCCGTTACAATACAGTTCTACTTTTAAAAATGTAATAATTTTTATTACTTTGTAAATATTTTATACTATTTTATTGTACATGAAATTAATTTGAAAGAGTGGTATTAGAGAAAAAGCTCATATAAGTTTCAAGAATAAAAAATTACGAAGTATTATTTTTTTTTCTGTCTTGTAGCATTTCACACAAAACTAACCATTATAAGTTTCTCATCGTTTATTGTTCATATTTCTATTTTACCATAGCATCAATTAAATTTGTTTACGTCTCAGTGAGATACATTTCTCACTTCTTACTTTTCTATGAAATCCAGCGAGAGATTTAGAAATCATACTAACAAAATAAACTCTTTTTTACGACGAAATTAAATTATTTTAATGCAATGAACAATTTGTAGAAAAATGGTATACAGAAACGTTTATTTTGTTAAACGTTTTAATTTTTTTTACTCATATTATAAATATGAAATATATTTCTTTCACACACTTATGTGAGAACTCTTTCTCTCTCTCTCAATCTCTCTATATAAAATAATTTCCTCTTACCTTATTAAAATGAGCCGCATCTGTCAGTCGATTCTTTTGTTTATATCCATGCGACAAAAACACAAAAACAAGTCAATATCCCTTGCAACGAACATGACAGTTTGTTAGTGCTGCTCTTTAATCGCTAAGAACGTTGCAAGTAATAAATAATCTTGTATTTCCTAAATATATGTGTGTAGATGATATCGCCATTGAGGATTTTGTTTTCTTTTTGTGGCTAGTGATTAGAGTTATGTTGACAGAATATTAATCGCATGAGAGTATATTTTCGATACGTCTAACAATTCATAAGAAAAACAGGTGTTGTTGAGATAAAAATTATGAATCTGTGTTTTTTTTTTTTTTTTTTGCTTAGAAATGGATAACTAAAAAAGGAAGAAAAACACTTAATATATCACAAAAATATAATGGAATGTGTCCACTTTTTGTTTAAAACTTGTTTTCATAAGAAAAATTGAGACAGGTGATGAAAAATGGGAATTGTTTCTCAATAAATATTTTTATATGCGTGTTTTATGAACGAATGAATCTCAATTGTTTAAAAAAAATCTATACATTCATTTTGGACTTTTTAACATTTACCTTTTTCCCCTTGTTTTCTTTGCATTCGAAAATATTGAAATTGAGTGAAATAATGTAATAACTTTTTTAAACTCGTGTATATATTTTTATTAAAGAAATTAAAATAATTATGCGATTTTAAAAGCGACACAAGCTCATATGTATTAAACAAAAACCTTCTAAGAACTTGTCTTTTTTCATTGAAATTAAGTATAACGAATTTTTATGCCTAATAAGCAAAACAATTCCGTTGTCAAGGGAGTGCAACAGGCAATTTCAAAGATAATTTTAAGCTCAAGAATTGGTGAAAACGTCTCTTATAGTGCGATTAAGGAATGTTAAATGTTCCAGTTTCATTCTTTTACATATTTTGACCAGCATTCCTCAATTTATGCTTTAAATATTGGATCTTTTATGAAGCTCATATGTAGCAAAAAGAGATGTAAAAGACGCAAAAATATTTTAAAATTTAGAGATAATTGATACATATATGAGAGTGAAAAGGATCCTGACATTATCATATCACAATACAGCTCAGGGATGTTTGTGTTATGATGAGTAATTCAGCCTTAAAATTATGTCAACATATTCTAGTACTATTAAATGCGTAGACGGATTACTAAAGTTGAATCATTGAAAGAAAAAAATAAATTTCACGGGCTCAAACCAGAATTTCTTTGAGCATCTCTTAAACAATATCTGTTAAAGAACAATGACCTATCCTCCTCGACATAATGCATTCGAGTATTTTATAAATAATCATTGGAACTGAAATAGTCATCTAATACAATGTCAATGCATTATGAGGATATATCCAGACAACTATGACTTATAAAAACACCATTATTCCGTATAGCTTTATCTATGTGTTGAGGATATAATCGATCTCTGTGTATTCTTATTTTATTCAAGTGTCGTGAAATATTGATATGACGGTGCACCATTGATGAAAGATGGTTTAAAAATAAATTGTAGAGCATTGTATTTTATACCATGATTCTATAGCGCTGGATCATTTAGTAAATGGCGATATTATTTCTTATTCGTGAACTTTTGCCAATTGAGATTTCTTTTTTCATAAACAAACAATAATTTTTCATTGCTGTCAGCATCTTTACACAAACATGTCCATTACAATTGCCTTTAATATTAATCTTTTTTCTTTCTTTTTTGATTTCTGCCCTCTGTAAAATTTCCATTCCCCATACCTTATTAAAAAGTAACAAGAAATGTAAATTTTTTTAAGTCAGTTTCTTTTTAGGTCAACAAAGAAAAATTTTATTTTAGTTACTTTTTATTAAAAAGTTGTAACTAATATAAATATATATATATATATATATACCTATGACTGAATCACAATTTTAAGTGGCAAAATAGAAAACATTATTCCTTCCTATATATGATGTTAGACCATTATTTTTATTTTTTACTCTTTATTCATTAATTAAATTTAATTATTCCAATAAAATTGTATAGTAAAAAGAAACCACAATTCTAGAAATTGGGACATCCCAGGTGGGATTCGAAATCATGACCTTTGAATTACAAGCCCAACGCGCAATCCCTTGCGCTACAGGGATAGGTCAAGTGGTTTTCCTTTTTATATATGGTGTTGAAATATTATTTTTCCTTTGTTACTAATTATTAATTAATTAATTAATATTTGAAATAACTGTATTAACATCAACTGTCATCCCCTATAAGTTTAAAAAATGTATTTGAACTTCAGTGGATAAATATAAAGCATTTTGTTAACGATTGAAAATTTGTGAACAAGATATTTAAAAATAAATTAATAAGTATATATATATATATATATATATGTATATATATATATATATATATATATATATATATATATATATATATATATATATATATATATATATATATATATATATATATATATACTAGCTGGTATACCCGTTCTTCGCACGGGTGAACTGAAAAATTAAACAACACAGATTGAAGGATAAAGAAGTTTTTAATGAGTTAATTTTACGTGAATTGCAAATTAAACAAAAAAAAGCTTTTTGCTTATCTCAGCTAAACAAAAAAAAGAAAGAAAGAAAGAAAACAACATCGTTAAATTTTACGTATGTAGATCTAATAGCTGATAAAAAGGATGTTAATCTTTTTGTTTATAATTCCCCGTAACACTCTTGAGGGTCGATTTTTGAAAATACCTCCCTAAGCTGATCTCTACTCAGCAAAAGTAACACATTGTTAAAAATATTGCGTAATGAACGCTTAAAATAGTGTAAATAATTTATATCTGAAAGTGTAATACATTAATATTACTTTCTGTTGTATTTATTTTTTGTTAAATTTTTTATATTCGCAAGCAACGCCGTTTCTTAAATTATAATGGCTATAATGGAGATTCAATGAAAAACACAGCGAAAGGATGACGATAGGCAAATTCGCAAATGTCTAGCTACTTTCATAGCTCGAGCTTTATTAGAGCTTTGTAAGACCCGCCGTGTAGAGGCGTGATGCACGTTAATGCTTTAACTACCGCATTATGATTTACTGTAGTTTTTCCATGCAATATTTTTTTTGGATCACTACATTGAAAATTAAGGAAAAATTAACAAAAAGATAAACAAAATACTCCACTTTGGTAAATTTAATCCGTTAGAGATAATAAATTAATTAAAGAGATATTCCACTGTAAAAATTATATACACCGTTCACTTAAAATAAATAGTCAAATCGTTTTCTAAAGCCTTCATTAACATACAAAAACATAAGAAACTTAAATTTTGACATAAACTTTTTTTTTCGGGACAAAAATAATAATCTTTGCAATCCGCTGAAAACACATATATGCTGCAAAACTGTTCGCCTTCCCCGCTAAAATACTCATCATAAAACCCGTGCTGCCATATATCTTGGAAGAGTGGATTTCATAGAATATTCCTGCTAAGTATTGGTAGAATATTCCTTCTAAGTTTGCGTGGTGTGCTTGTTAAGAAAAAGGAGTTCAAGCTCAAGTATCATCCACGCCACTTGACCATGGTTCAAAATTACGTAGTCCGTTGCCAAAAGCCCACGTGTAGCTGAACAGTGCGTAGTAATATTCACTCACTCCAGAAAATACAGTACAATAGTTATAATTATTTTTATACTTAAAAATGCAATATTCGCCTATTCAATTAAAATTATAGTGTTATAAGTATATACTAACCACAAACAAACTATGCAAATATATTCAAATGATGTAATGTGAAAGACAAAGTTTATCTACTGTAAGTACCAGAATCAATAAAAGTATTTATTTTGAAAAAAGATCAATTTCTTACTACCAAATGTGCATAATAAAATCATTAAAAAACATTCAAATAAAAAAATCATTAAAAAAACATTCAAATAAAGAGAGATTTATAACAACCTCTCCCTTCAAAACTTAGTTTTATTCTGAAATAAAAAAAATTAGGGATTCTGCTGTTTACAGGAATTAATTAGAAGCGAGCGCCTTGCGTAGCCAAAACAAAAAGAGTTCTTTCACAAACAAAAGATAGATATATGCTGACGTGGGTTTTGCAGCTCACTCCAGAATTGCTTGTAGATGGCAGAATTTTTTCCTACTTGACAAATATCGTTATATTTTGGACACTTCTTACAATATCTTTATAAATTATAACCTATGCTATAAATTATAGCCCATTAGTTATTCTGATGTATAAGTTATATTACTGTAAAGTTTCATTAAAATCCATTCAGTTGTTTTTGCGTGAAAGACTCCCAAACATCCTCACAAACTTTCGCATTTATAATATATATCTAGATATATACAGGGAGAGTGTGGACTAATAGAACAGAGTAAAAAATCAAAACATATCTTCCGCTCAAGGATCACACTTAAAATTTTCGAAAAATTCGAAAATCCTACATTTTTTAATATTTTTTTAATAATTATTTAACATATCAATGTTATAACGCAATGGTTTCTGATGTTAACTTTTCAAAAAGGAGCAAGGGAAAAATTGAAACATGCAACTTCAAAATATTTACTTTTCGTGCAAAAAGCTCAAAAGTCATATTTTTATCAAAAAATATGCTTGTCAAACTTGTGAAACCAGCATCTCAAAGATTGTCCGATGTTCAAACAAGAGAGAAAAAATCAGCAGGTCGACAGTTTTTATCAAAATTATTATTCAAATTTACTTCAAAATCTAATTTTTAAGTGCATGATTTGAATAAAATTCCACATAACATTATGCACCATATTTAATAATAGGTCCATCTGCAGGGTAAAAATATTCAAAGTGAAAAATATGTTTATCATTTATTGTGCTTTTTATATTAAGTGTAAAAAATAAAATCAACTAAAATTATAAAATATGATTAATTCTACAAAAAAATAAATTTTAAGATTTTGACACAAACAGTAAATATTTCGAATTTGCAGGTTTCGATGTATTTTATCATTCCTTAAATACTAACCTTCACATTTAAGACAATATTATTACGATATTCGTAGGTTAATTAAAAATGTGATGAGTGAACAAAAGACGTTCCTTTTAACTTGAATTCTTTTCTTTTTTTATTTATTATTGTTTTACATAGCTAAGCAGAAAGAAAAATTTTCAAAATACATGGATTTATAAAAAAATCAGCTCACTCTAATGTCCGTAATATGTCTAAAGTATCAATTTTTTTTTTTTTTTTTTGCTCGATATGACAAGTATTTTTTTATGTGCAAATGACTTGACACTTTCACTGATCTTAAATCGAATCCTAATGATACCAACGGTAGAACTAAATCTTCATAAAGTTGTAATGATAACACGCGTTGGTTATATGTGTGTATATGGAATTATTCTCTTAATTACTTAAAAATTTTAAGATATTGGTTTTCCTAGATAATATATTTTCTCGAAATATATGTAATATTTCTTGAAATTATATTCTTTTGTTAATAAAAATGTATATAAAGTAATAAATTTTCTATAATTATTATAATGGAATATGCTATAAACGTACAAACATATATACAAGGCTTGTTCGAAAACTAAGTACCGTTTTGGAAAAAAAACCGCATAAAAGAATCTTTTTCCGAAACAAAATTTACTTTTACATAAAAGGGCAAATTGGAAACTATTTTTCCATATAATTAACACCATTTTTCAGAAGTTTGTGATATCGAGAAACTAAAATGTTTCTACCTTCTTCAAAGAAAGATGCTGTCAGTGAAGAAAGAAAGTCACTGCTGAATAGCTATGTGGAAACTTATCGCAAAGCAATCTTATTCTGAGCCTTCTATTTTCGCAAAGTTTCTCCTTCCTTTTTCTATGTAACACTCACTCGAACTGTCTTAGTTTCACTGACAACAAAAGACTTCTCACATTCCATCACTCATTACATTTTCTCCATAAATCTCGGCAGCTTAACAATGAATTTCAATTGGCTGAACATTCCTTGCGTTCAAAAAAAGTATTACAGAAAGCACTTCCCAGTCAATGGGATCAGCAATCGTCTTAAACATTTTGTACGCTTACTAACACGTATAAAAAAAAACAATCCGGTTAGAATGACGTCAATGAACTGACAAGCAACCAGAGACTCTTGTGCGCATGCGTTGAGCTGAGTTACTACAGCTGTGGTTGCAGTAGAACGAAACAATACTTAGTTTCTGGACACGCCTCGTAATTTTAACAATTTTTGCAGAAATGTAAAGTAGTTTGCATTAAAAGTTTTGTATATTCATACTTTTGATTAAAATCTATTGTTATATATTTTTAAGTTTTTATTTAAAATATATAACATAAAACTGTTTTTTCAAATGTGCTGTGTAAGAATTAAATTTCTAGTTCCAGAAATTTGAAATCAGTGAAGAATTGCAAAAATGTTTAGTGATAAGGATGTCAGTACATATACATATTTAGATATTTATATATACATATTTAGATATTTTTGCACATAATGTGTCTTACAGTTACCCCTCAACAACATTTAAATCAATCAGACATTTATTTGACAGAAATATAATAAAAATAAAAACCGAGTTAAAACAATATACAGGTTACATTACATGAAGAAGTAAATTATTTGAATTATGAAAAAGGGTTTAGAATAAGCTAAATCAATTAGAGCAAAATATGAATGCTAATTTTCATCAGATTAAAAAAATAATAAGATTGTTAAAATAAATGCATATTGTAAGAAAAAGAGAGAAATATTGCAAATATGCGAACTCTATAACCATAGACAAAACTATGAGGCAGAAAATTTTTTCTTATGTTGACTGTGGGAAAGTGTTATTTGAGATCATTGTATTTGTACATTGCAGCATTAATATGAAGTTTAGATCACAATGTAAACAAACGTGATGCAGTTAGTAGTCAATAAAATACCATCGCAAACCTATAAAGCAAAATTTGCTTCTTCTTGGAATAAGAATTAATCTGTACTATCTCCTTTTGATTTCCATATCCCCACTCAAGTTCTGCGAATTTCACTTAAGTATTTTTTTTTAAATTTTGAAAATGTCAAAAGACAATAAACTTAGGCATTAACAACAGTTCAAAATATAGTTTTCAATCGAACGGGTAAAAACTTATAAAGCTTTATATCT